TTTTAAAAAACCTGTTCACAGAAATAATGGCAGAAAACTCCCCAAATATAGGGAAAGAAATAAACATACAGATAAGCGAGGCATACAGAGCCCCAAATACCCATAACCAAAACATAACCCCCCCATATTATACTCAAAGTACCAAAAGCCCATCATAGGGACAAAATCTTAAAAGCTGTTAGAAAAAGGCAATGAATCACATGTAAAGGCAAACCCATTACAATCATAGTAGACTTCTCTATGTAAATCTTAAAGGCCAGGAGGGCTTGGAATATGTTTCAAGCTCTAAAAGATAACAACTTCCAATCTCAACTTAGATATTCTACAAAACTCTCCTCAAAATTTATGGAAAATAAGGGATTTCCACGATAAGGAGCTCCTTCAGAAATCAACAAAGAAATATCAGAGTTGACTCAAACTTTCAAACAAATAGATTCAATAGCTATCTATCTACAGAGTGTTCCATCCAACAACAGAATATACATTTTTCTCAGTAGCACATGGGACTTCCTCCAAAATAGACCAATTCTAGCCCAATAGGCATGCTTCAGTAAATGTAAAAGAATCAAAGTTATCTCATGCATTTATCAGATTACAGTGAAGTGAAACTAGAAACCAAAGGCAAAAGAAATCACACAAACTATGCAAACACATGGAAACTAAACAATTCCCTCTTGAATAATCAATGGATTGCAGATGAAATTAAAGAAATCAGACAGTTCCTATAATCAAACAATAATGCCAGTACAACTGTTATGGCTTGTGTTTAGATGTCCCCCTAAAGTCTTATGATTTTTCAGAGGGGATGCATCTAGAGTGTGTGATTGATTCCTGGTGGGGCTAGGCCAAGGGCACTTAGGATTAAGACTACCCTAAGTAGTCTGAATAAGATAAAAGGGTCAGAAAGATGCTGGTAAGGTTCCTTGTTGCTTTGTTTGTGTGTACCCTGTTGTTTCTCCTCTGCAATGCCTGTTTGCCATCCTTACCTTGGAGCCAGCTGATTATGGGCTTAAACCTCTACAAATTGTGAGCTAAATAAACCCTTTCCCCTTTAACTTTGGGTGTCAGGTATTTTGTCTTGGCAATGAGAGAAAAGTAACTAAGACAGCAATCTCCTGGAGCCTGTGGAACACAATGAAAGAAGTCCTAAGAAAAGTTTATAGCAGTGAATACCCAAATGAGAAAAAGAGTGAGTTCAAATAAATAACCTAATTATGTACCTCAAGGTCCTAGGAAAATAAGAATAGTCCAAACCAAAGCTACTACCAGGAAGGAAATTATAAACGTCAAAGCAGAAATTAATGAAATTGAAACTAAAAAAGCAATACAAAGAATCAATGAATTGAAAAGACGTTTCTTCAAAAGAATAAACGAGAGACAAACCCTTAGCCAACCTTATCTAGTTCATGCCAATGAAGAAGATTCGATGATCCAGACTGCCTTAGGATTTATCAGTGCGTATTTGCTGCCATCTCAGTTACCACTGTATCTGAACTGGGCAGTGAGACGTTTTTCACAGTGGCCATTGTAGCGATGAGTACACAGACTGACTGTGTTGGCAGGAGCTATGCTTGCTTTGCCCCTCATGACCCTGTGCCTATCACCACCACAGTCAACCCCAGGAGGCGCGCACACCACACTCCAACTGCATTGTTCACCACTTTGGGCACTTAGAATGCTTCAAGAGGGCTTTAAAATGAGCCCAAATGAGGGTCAAGGGGAACTGGAAGAAGCTCAAGGAGAATTAAGGCAGATAAACGGTGTGTGGTGGCGCACACCTGTAATCCCAACACGTGGAAGGCCAAGGCAGGAGGATCACTGCAAGTTGGAGGCCAGCTAGCTACATAGTGGGTTCAAGGTGAGCCTTGAATTACAGTGCGATCCTGTCTTGGAGGAGGAGGAGGAGGAGAGATGAAGAATTTCAACACAGTAAACCAAATGGTCCAGATGTTGCAGCACAACACCTCAGGAAAAGTACAGCGGTGCCTAGGTTCAGAAACTTTTTTTTTTTTTCCACAATTCTGGTTGCGAACTAAATCAAATTTCCCCATAAGGTTCAATGCAACTAAGTTTAATCCACTCTGAACCATAAGTATTTTTTAAACCACAAAAATGTGAAAGTAGAGTACAGTATGAAGAGACAGAGAACACTAGCCTTGCTTGAGGTGGCTTCTGGTGTGGTGGGTAGGAAGGTGGGTGAGAAGGAGTGGGAGGAGGGTGAGGGTGAAGAGGAGGGTAGTTTTTGGAGGGAGAGTCCCCTCCATAAGGACACTGGGGAGATCGTCAGGTGTTTCCTCTCTTCTTTGTCGCTTAGCTGCATGGTCAGTTTTGATGAAAACCATGTCTAACGTCTCTTGCTTTTTCCTGTGCTGCATAACCCTCCAAAAATGAGAGATTGTCAGATTCAAGGTGATGTTCGTTAGTTATGTTGGGGTAGGACTTCTCAAAGAATTCCTGGACTGCATTCCATTTTTCCACAATGGATTTTGTGACATTGCCGCTAACTTCCTCTCTGTCTTGCTCTTCCTCAGTGAGATGCTCCTCAGCAAGCACCTTCTGCTGTCACTCGCATGTTGCAAGTTCTTCCACCACCAGCCCCTCCTTATGGTCCTCAACGAGCTCCTCTACCCCTTTCTGGTCTGACGCCCAGACCCACACTCTTCCCCCTGGACACAACCTCCTCCAATGCCTGTGCATCAGGACCCTTCAGAGCCATGTTCAGTGAGACTTTCTTGAAATTAAAAAATTAAAAAATGGGCTGTGGATTTGGCTCAGTGTAAAACTCTGAGTTCGATCCCCAGTCATGCAAATAATAATAATAATACTGTAAGAAGAATTCACACTTAGAAAATTTCCGTATTTTAAGCCAGGTGTGGTGGCACATACCTGTTATCCCAGCACTTGGGAGACTGAGTCAGGAGGAATGCGGTGCGTTCCAGGCCAGGGTGGGCTGGCATAGTGCATTCAAAACCAGCCTGAACTACATCGTGAGACTCCATCTCACAGGACAAAGCAAAAGAATTCTGTACTTTGACTCCAGAATGAGCTATATCTTTCCATCTATTCAAATGCCAACTCAAATCTTTGGCTTTCACGTGTATGTCGGCGTAGATGTTTTCACACATTTCTTATTGCTGTTATAGATATCACCTGGAGGCCCTTGTGAGCGGGCTCCTTTCCTTCCCCTCTGGTCTCTGAGTGCCGATCATACGTGCAATAATTACCACCACTTTCCTCTGTCCACTTTGCACTTCGTTCTCACGAGCACTCCAAGTGTGCTGCTGTGTGTCATCTGCCCAGTCATCCCTTAGCCTTCTTCTGGCTACACCTCCACTGAGGTGTCAAATTTAACTTTACTTAGCGTGACGTCAGTAACCATTTTTCCCAGCAGGGTTAAAGGTGCTATCTTTTCTCCAATGTATGTTTTTGGTCCCTTTATGGAGAGTCAGGTGGCTAGAGCTGCACACATTTTTTTCTGGGTCCTCTAGTCTATTGTTCTGTGTCTATTTTTGTGGCAGTACCATGATATTTTTGTTGCAGTGGCTCCATATTTTACTTTGAAATTGGGTATTATGATGCCTTCAGCATTGCTCTTTTTATTCAAAATTTCTTTGGCAACTCTGTCTTTTGTGTGTCCATGTAACTTTTAGGAATTTTGTTTTCTAGTTCTGTGAAATTTTGATGAGGACTGTATTGAAGATCATGTTAGGTAGTACTGACATGTTAAGACTAAATATTTTAGGCTATAAATATGGGCTGTCTTTCCATTTTGGGTGTCTTTTTAAGTTTTCTTCAACATTCTGTAGTTTTCATTACACAGATCTTTGACCCCCTTTGTTGAGTTTATTCTAATATTTCATTCTATTTGGAATGGTGGTTGGGATTGTTTTCTTATACTTCTTTCTAGATTTTTCATTGTCAATGTATAGAAACACAATCGAAGTTTATAAGTTAATTTTGGACATGGCAACTTTGCTGAATGTATTCATTCCAACAATTTTATTTTGGCATCTTTGGGGTTTTATAGACTTAAAGTCATATTACTGCCTATAGAGATCATTTTATTTCTTCCTTCCCAATTAGTATGCCTTTTATTTCTACTTCTTGCCTTAGTGTTCTGGGTAAGACTTCTAATACTATGCTAAAAAGAAGTGATGAAAGCTGTCTTTTCTCTTACTTAGGGATAAAGCTTTTAATTGTTCATCGTGGAATATATTAGCTTCAGGTTTTCCTGTTTGACCTTTTTTGTAGGTGTTTAGTTGTTTAATCATGAAGGATTGCTAGAGAACAAAAACGATGTTCTGGGCAAGAGTAGTCTGAGGGGAGTAATGAGGCCCAGAATCGGCCCCCTCCACGGCTGGACCACACTGGCTTACCCTGCTCTCCCAGTGCGCCCTACTCTGTGAACATATTCTTCAGTGTTCCGTGGGAAATCGTAATTATAGACGTGTGTGATGTCATGGACATCAAGACCTCAAGATGCCAAGTCGGTAGTGATGAGTATTCTCACCTTACCTGGGGAGTAAAGGCGAACAAATACAAAAACATTCTGGTACAAACTGGGCCAATACATACATGAAAAGTGTATTTACCCGCATTGTTTTATCAGGTAAACTATGATCGCGGCATTAAAACACTTTGCTAGAAAAGCGATGAACAAATAAATAAATCTTCTGGCAAGTTACAGCACAACAGGTATCAGCATTCCGTACATGGTCGTGAACTATCTGCACCACATAGGAAAGGTAAACTGAGATACAGCCCCACTGCAAATTAAAAACTCGACAGCTAGGTTTAAATGTCGATCTCATTAGGGTCTGCCTGGCTAGTTCTTCCAGGCGGCTTCATGTTTAGAGCTCTCTCAAGCATACTTGGGGCTGTGCAAACTGAGGACGGACCTTCGAAAATGGTTGCCGTGAAAAGAGGCTGTCACTCGCCCAAGCTCAGGGGTTGGACTGATTTTAAACTGGAACACACAAGATCGCACAAATGTACCTTGTTTAAAGTTCTCTAATGCTTTTTCTCAATCGCTCTGTTCTCTGTCGCCATGCAAAGACTCTACTGATAGTTGTCGAAGAATCAGGTCACTTGATAAATGATCAGCACTGAAGCAAATGATAAGGGATTTTATTTAAGTGTTTGTTCTAATACCATCATCAGTTCACTAGCTTTATTTCTATTGCCAAAAAACCCAGTTTGAAACAAATCAATTTGATGATTATAATGCAAATACAAGAAAATACCTGTACACTAAGAATCAACACATGGGATTGTATCAAATTAAACAGCTTCTACGTATCAAGGAAACAATGGAATGCAGAAACAAGCTACAGTATGGGAAAAAAATTAGCCAGCCACTCCTTGCACAGAGGGCTATTATCTAGAATATATAAAGAACTCAGATACTTCTCGAGAGAAGTAAAAATGGCCAAGAAGTACATGAAAAACTGTGCAGCGTCTTTGCCTATTGGAGAAATGCAAATAAAATAACACTGAGATTCCATCTCACTCCTGAAAGAATGGCTACCATCAAGAAATCAAATAACAACAAATGCCGGCAAGCCTGCATGGAAAAAGGAACGTTGTGGGTGGGAACACAATCTAGTGCAACCACTACGGACATCAGTACGGAGAGTCCTCAAAACCTGAAAACCAGCAACTCCATTTGACCCAGCTCCTCCTCTTCTGGGTAACTTCCCAAAAGCGTCGAAGTCATCGGGTTGCAGTGTTACATGCACACCACGTTTGCAGCAGCACAACTCACGTTGGCTAAATGACTGAAGCAGGCTGGGGATTTAGCTCAGTGGTGCCACCACCTGCCTCACAAGCGCAAGGTCCTGAGTTTGATCCCGGGTACAAAAAAAAACAAAAAAACTGAAGTAGCCTATATGGCTGTTTACAGATGAATGGATGAAATGAAAATGGCTATGTGTACAATGGAGCACTGCTCAGCCATAAAGAAATCATCTGTAGGAAAATGGATGAACCCCAAGACCATAATGCTAAGTAAAACAAATCAGAATGGGGATGAAATATAACGTGTTTTCTCTTAAAAGAGAAACCCAAAGTATAATTAGTATAAGGAAGTTATAAAATATAAGTAGAGGGCCGGGGATGTAGTTCAGCAGTGACACAGCTGCCTGGAAAGCACAAGGCCTTGAGCTTGATTCCTGGTACCAAAAAAGAAAAAAAGACTAAAAACTAAAATATAACTAAAATTAAGGAGACATGTAGGAATCAGGGAGGTAAACTCATTGTGATGGGAAGGAGATATGAGGAAGGGGGAGAGGGAATAAGACAGTAGGAGAAGAGGCAGTAAAATTGATAAAGATACAATGTATGTGTATGAATGAATTACCCAAAATGAGAATAATTATATCACACACACACACACACACATACACACACACGCGCGCGCGTTCGCGCACGCACACTTTTTTCTTTGTGATACTGGGGATTGAACTTGGGACCCTATACTTGTGAGGCAGGTGGTGGCACCACTGAGCTAAATCCCCAGCCCACAAATATATATTAATAAATAATATAAAAACAAAATAGAAGGCAAAAAAATTGAATTATTCCTGCTTAAAAAAAAAAAGGAAGGCTGGGGATTTAGCCCACTGGTTCCACTGCCTGCCTTGCAAGTGCAAGGACCCGAGTTGGATCCCTGGTATTAAGAAAGAAAGAAAGAAAGAAAGAAAGAAAGAAAGAACGAACCATGTCACTCCAGACAAAGAAAAGCCAGTTTAAAAAAGAAAAAGGAAAATACTTACACTGCTTTTCTGCTTACAAAGACAATGACTTTGTCTGTAGGTGACATGTTCTCTAGGAAAGCTTGGATATGAGCTCTTTTCTCTTCCTCTGTGGTGATGATGACATCCTGCTTCACTGTACTTACCGCCTAATGGGTACAAAGATCACAACCCATCAGCACGAGGGAAAGACCTCAGGGTCAGCTCAAAATTCCGCTACCAATGGTTATCGTTTTTGCGAAAAGCAGAATTAGCTCCTCCCTTGTTCCCCTTCCCTTTTGAACACTTTCTTCCCATTTCCCGACATCCATCATACATCTCAGTCCTTATTTCCCCTTTCGGGTTCTCACACCAGAGAATGCGGTATTTAAACACAGGCGTCGGGTTTATTTCACTTGCGAGTTTGGTCTCCAAGCCCCAGTCACAGAGCCGCTGGGCCTCCACTGCCTCCCCCGGGCCCGCCTTCCACAGGCCATTTCCACCCAGGAAAAGGAATCGCATCGCACTGCTGTCTGGAACCTCACTCTTTCCACGCCTTTGCAGATGCAAGTAAGGGTGATGACCTGCTTCCTGCCAGCCCTGAAGATTATATCCATGTAAGAGTCCAACAGAGATCCTTGTCCCAGGGATCACTGATTACGATAAAAAGGAACCGGTGACGGCGTTTAGGCAGAAATTTGCCTGCACGGTACCGTAATCGAGCATCGAGAATACGGAGAGGTCACCCAGCTCCAGGGCGACCAGCGTGAGAACAGACGCCAGTTCCTGTGGAGACTGGACTGGCTAAGGACTTGTGGCCCGTTGAAGGTTAAACGAGGATTTCCTTGCAATGAGTAGATATCGCTTCTGTCGCTTGTCACAAGTTTAAAAACCTCACGGCTTATAGAATGTCACCGTTTGGGGCCCGCTTTCACCAGGACTGGTGCAACTTCTTCATGCAATAAACTGAAAAGAGCCACGCAGTCTAGTCTAGACGTCCCTCACTGGAACAGAGCTCACGCGGTAGGCGCCCCGCGTTGTGCAGCCTGAAACAAGGTACCGCAATGTTTCAGCAGGTCCGGCCAGGAGCTCTCCACGCGCTCGCTGCGCGGCCCCAGGCCCTAGAAGGTCCCCACTCCAGCGCCCCCAAGACCCAGGAGAGCGTGGGGTGAGGCGGAGGCTCAGCTGTGCCGCTAAAGGTAGAGCCTTCGGTAGCAAAGATCCCTTGGTGTCTCATCAGACCACCGGGCGACAGAATTTGGGCCGCCTTCCCCATCAAGGCGGTAACACACCCAGCTGGCTGCCGAGGGCTCTGGGACCAGACATCCTAGCTAAGGACATCAAACCTCAGCACGCAAGGCCACCCCGGTGCAGATAAACTTCGGACACGACCACAAAATAATCAGACTGGACCAGTGCAGCCAGCAACAGCTTGCGCTCCACTCCCAGCAGCTACCCCATGCCATGTGAAGTAATAAACTGGTTTTGGTTTTCTTTCTCCCAGGTTTGATGTTACATAATATATTTAAACTCTTATTTAAATAATATTTTGTTTTCAGGGGAAAAAAGTATAGTCTCCAGGTCCATCCATTTAGCTATAAATGTCTGAGGCTCTTCCTTCTTTATGGCAGAGCCATACACCATTGCATAAAAAAACAAAAACACCTCATCTTCTTTATCCACTCACCAGTTGATGGGCATTTGGGCTGTTTTCAAGATTTAGCGATTACAAACTGTGCTGCTATAAACATGGGTGCATATATATCACTATGATATGATGCTTTTAATTCTTTTGGGAAGATACCAAAAAGAGATACAGCTGGGTCAAATGGAACCTCAAATCTTAGTTTCTTGAGAAATCCCCACACTGATTTCCACAGTGGCTGCACCAGTCTGCACTCCCACCAACAGTGAAGAAGTTTTCCTTTTTCCCCACAGCTCCTCCAGGATTTGTTATTGATTGATTTTTTTTTTTTTTTTTTTTTTTTTTTTTTTCTATTTTTTTTTTTTACCAGAAATCAAACTCAGGACCATGCGCTTGCAAGCCAGGTGGCAGAACAACTGAGCTAAATCCTCCGGCTCTTGATTAATTTCTTGATGACAGCCATTCTTTCTGGAGTGAGATGGAATCTCAGTGTTATTTTCATTTGCATCTCTCAAATGACCAGAGACGCTGAACATTTTTTCATAAATTTATTTGCCATTATTTCTAATTCTTCATCTGAGAAGTGCCTTTTCTTTTCAGATGCCCACTTTTGCATTGGGTCTTTAAATTGCAGAGGGGGTCTGATCTTTTTGAGTTCTTTATATATTCTAGATAGCAGTCCTTAATCGGAATAGCTGGTAAAAAAATTTTCCCACTCTGTGGGTTGTCTCTTCACCCTGGTGGTTGTTTCTCTTGCTGTGCAAAAGCAATGAACAATATTCTGAACCTTTGTGTGGTCCAGTTAGTCTTTCTGTCAATTACTCCCTCTGTCTTAGGAAATCCTTCTCTGCTCTGAGCCCTAAAGAAACTCACTCTGTTTTGTACTAAGAATGCTGAAGTTTCTATCTTAATATTGAAATCCTTGAAGGATCTTTTAACCTCCGATCTGAGGTCACTTTACATGATCTCCCTGGACATTTTCTGACTTCCACATACCTTGAGTTGGCCGCAAGCCCTGTTTGAGGGAACGAGTAGTTGAGACCCTTGACAAAGGCAAGTTACGCTGCCCTCTCCTCTGGATGATGGTTTGTTTCTGAATTTGTTCTATTTGGGAAGTATCTTAGAGTCCTTTGAGGACCCAGTTTTATCATGCTTGCTACATTTAGCAAATTCCCTAAATTTTATTTGCGGGCCCACACACCAGCTTCCAACAGATTTACAATGTTCGTAGCATTTTCACTGAATTTGACCAAGGGAATCAATTTTGCCACTCTGTTACCTCCCAGGGGTCCCGGCTTCGATTTGACTGGAAGGGAAGTGGAGGTGCCACTTCTGTCACACTTTTTAACTGTAAGACTTAATCCACGGCATCCAAACCCTCTGCACCCACTGAAGACAAAACTGAGCAAAACCAGACACCCAGAGGAGCATGTGGCTCCCTTTGCTGTGCTCAGCCCTGGAGGAGCTGATGGACGTGAGGGAATTGTTTTTATAATTTCATAGTGAGTGGCTTTTTTCCTTTGTCACATCTTGGTCTCATCCTCAATCATTAAAATGAAATCTCTCTAGAATGAGAAATTGCACCAAACATAATGAAAACAGAATGTGTTTTCATGCCTGATAATATTGTTTTAAACGCTGTCTCGCAGAGCCTGCACCCGAGCTTGGGTTAAGGCAGTATCCTCCTCAGCAGCCGCCAACCATAGTCTGCCCACCATGGATCCCTGCAAAGTAAACGAGCTTCAGGCTTTCATGAAAATGTGTAAGCAAGATCCGAGCATCCTGCACACGGAGGAGATGCGCTTCCTGAGGGAGTGGGTGGAGAGCATGGGGGGTAAAGTACCACCTGCTACTCATAAAGCTAAATCAGAAGGAAATATCAAGGAAGAAAAAACAGATGGTACGAAGACAGAGGAAAACATAAAAACAGACGAGCCATCAAGTGAGGAAAGTGATCTAGAAATCGACAGTGAAGGCGTAACTGAAACAGACACTGATGCCCCTCAAGAAATGGGAGATGAAAATGTAGAGGTAACTGAAGAGATGATGGATCAAGCAAATGAAAAGAAAGGGGCTGCCATTGATGCTGTGAATGATGGTGAACTACAGAAAGCCATTGACTTGTTCACAGATGCCACTAAGCTGAATCCTCGCCTGGCCATTCTGTCTGCCAAGAGAGCCAGTGTCTTCATCAAACTGCAGAAGCCAAATGCTGCCCTTCGAGACTGTGACAGAGCCACTGAAATAGATCCCAATTCGGCCCAGCCGTACAAGTGGTGAGGGAAAGCACGCAGACTTCTGGGCCATTGGGAAGAAGCAGCCCACGATCTTGCCCTCGCCTGTAAACTGGATTACGATGAACGTGCGAGTGCAGTGCTGAAAGAAGTTCAGCCAAGGGCCCAGAAAATTGCTGAACATCGGAGAAAGTATGAACGAAAACGTGAAGAACGAGAAATCAAAGAAAGAATAGAAAGGGTTAAGAAGGCTCGAGAAGAGCATGAAAGAGCCCGGAGGGAGGAAGAAGCCAGACCACAGTCAGGAGCTCAGCACGGCCCTTTCCAGGAGGCTCTCCTGGGGGATGCCTGGTGATTTTCCAGGAGGGATGCCGGGAATGGGAGCAGGATGGCAGGAATGCCCGGGCTCAGTGAGATTCTTAGTGATCCAGAGGTTCTTGCAGCCATGCAGGATCCAGAAGTTATGGTGGCCTTCCGGGATGTGGCCCAGAATCCTGCAAATATGTCAAAATATCAGAGTAATCCAAAGGTTATGAATCTCATCAGCAAATTATCAGCCAAATTCGGAGATCAAGCATAATGATCATCTGACAGAGTCCTTTCTGAAAGAAAAACAACCTAGATCACTTAATGGATGTGGCAATAATCCAAACCAGTGTACCTCTGACCTCATCAGTAGAGCTGGGTGCTTTGAAGATGATCCCTGCCCCTGTGCACCAAATGAGGCTGAAGCATTTTACAATGGTCTGCCATTAGAGTATTCATTCAGATAATGTTTTCTTACTAGGAATTACGAAACTTAAACACTTTTTAAACCTTAAATTCAAAGGGTCTATTAATCCCTACATTTTTCTTTATTAATCATTGTAGATTTTTTTCTTTGAATTATTGGGCAAGGAAGATAAGTGGGAGATTTATGGCTCTACTGTGAGTGAAAAAGTTTTTGGTGGGAAGCAAATCTCATTTAAGTAGATAAAGTTTGAGTTGGATATAATGGTTTACTAGGGCGTTTTGATTTGTCTTTTTAAAGGTTTTTCTTTTTCTTTTTTGAAGCTGATTCATTTCAGTATAACTATTGGGACCACCAGTATTTGAATATGATCTGGATAGGTACTAGAAGTACTGGTCGGGCAGCAGCAGTCTTATACAATATTTTATAGAATATGTACCCTTGTACAGTTTGCATTTAAATCTTACACTGTGCTAAAGGGGTGATCTTTTTTTTTTAAAGCCACAGAAGAGTTGTGTTACTTAGCTCTGTTCTTGTCCAAAATATCAAATAAATGTTTCA